CCAGGATATTTTCTCTAACGGTAGAATCATCTTGCAATTAACAGTTCAAATTTTCTACCCATACGTGCGCACACTTGTTAAAGATTTCATATGAGAGCGCTCACAAATTCTCAAAATAAGGGTATTCTTAAAATCGGTAATTTGAATAATAATAATAATAATAAAAATAGAATTGAAAGAAACAGACTTGATAATATTGAAAACCTGTAGATAAAGACGTTATTATTTTTACATTCAGACACACGTGTAAAGATTATACGTTAAAAAAGAAGAAAACCTCTAAAACCAGGGATTAGTTTATATCGTACACTGTCCTTAAGAAAAATTAATGCAATTAAATGTCACTGATAATATTTGATCTAAAGAAGTCAACCATAACATAGAAGAAAATCGGAGGAAAAACTGACATAGTTGGGAATGAGGAAAGGATGAAGTCTCAGCTGCTCCGTTCGCTCGTTTCACGTAGGTGGTGCCCTGATTTCCTTAAGAAAGACATCTCAGAACTGCCGGTACTCTATCACATATACGGGTTTGTTATGTTGGCCCTGCAGTCCTTATCCGTTTACCCTTGCTAAGGCTGTGTTTGAGTTCGTCAAAAAGCGTGTCAGAGTAGATGTGCTTAGCTCAGATAATTACAAGCGTAAACCGATGTGGAGTTGCTTTATAAAACATAGCTCTTGTACAAAGTCTATAAGGCAAGATAGTAAAACATTCTGTTCTCTCTATACACCCTATTTATCTTCTCGTAATTCACATCTTACTAGGATTTGCTTACCTCAGCAAACAATCTCGTAAATTCCACTTTAGCCAGGATTTCGTCCTTGTTTTTACCCCTTTTCGGGTCAATGACCGTTGAATAAGTAAGAGTCAGACGGTGGAAAATAGTGGAGGGATGTATTAAAATATTTTTGAATTGTGCAATTACTTCAGAAGAATTGTGCCCCTAGGTTTAAAACTGTAAGCTAATAACTCTAAAGTAATAAAATAATGTATAGTTGTTGGGGTTACTACGTGAATAAGTTTATACTTATTTTGTGGTGGAAAAAAAATGATCTCCCCTTTAACTTATTAACAGTACTGCCAAAACTTTGTTATCACTAGGTTGCCTACAACATGAACCGATAGCCACCCGATTTTATCTTAAAGCCTGTTGGTGTATAATTGATTTGTGAAACAACCCTTATAAAAATATTCAAGCTACGTCAAGTGTGAGAGAGGAATTTACAATTCCTTTTTTAAAAAGGCGTGTGTACGTCGCTTAGAACTGAGAGGAAGCAACTCAAACATTTTCTGTAGTGCCACAAACGAATGATATATTCCTCAGTCATTTGTCCGTTCCTTCAAAAGAAAACAACTAAGCCATCGCTAAAAATGCTTGTAGCGTTCGTCCCTGCTGCACTTATATAGCTTGTTGTTATATACAACAAGATACAGCTTGTTGTACAAGTCAAATCCTGCAAGTTTGCAGAACAAATGTTCTCGAGCAGTAGCTGGTCAAGTGGAAGTTTAGAGGTCAGCATTATATGTGAAAATGCGATTTTTATGCACATTTAGTCTTAGTTTCTTCTTAATATTTTTTATGTATTTTGTGTGTGTTTTACTCGTGTTTTGTTGTTGTTTTCGTGTGATAGACCAGTTCTTACTGTAGTTTATCATAAGCAGCTAGCTAGTTAGCTCTTTCACCGCATATTACGTACCGTTTTAATCAGTCTAACGAGTTACATTATGAGATTTTTAAAGAACAAATACCAGCGTGAACGTTTTCACATTTATACCACGTACAGGCCTGTATAAAAGAAATTTATCGAAACCGAATACCTGAAATTCACACTTCACCGTACTGAAACCGAATATTTTTCTTTACCAAGTTAATAATTGAATAGGGATATTTCATTAACTTGGTGAACATGGTGATCCGTCCACACCATTAAAATTCGTCGTCGATAATCACATGATGATAAATGTATAATTGTTTAGTCCAGACCTTTTATTAAAATCTTAAAATAAAGAAATCCAGTAAAATCTACAAATTACAGACACTCGTAATCTGTTAGCTGAACAAACGGAAACGCTTTAGTAAGTGAAACAACCGTATCGTATCTTTGTTTGAAAATTCAGCCATTATAACGTGTCATTAAAGTCTCTTAGTTTTACACCTCGATCGTGCAGCTGTAAATGTAAATACACGCAAAAATATAAAGGAGTTACAATACTGAATAAATTAATCTATAAATGTTAGCTAGAGAGCGTATGACGTCAAAATAGGCTTGGAAACCTTGAATGTTCTAGATGACGTCACGAAAATCTAGTAACTTGAACGAATACCTAGAAGTGAGACATCGGTTATAAATACGAGTCAGTAAAGTGAAGTGGTAGTAAATGCCAAAGTGAAGTGTGAATGCCGAATAGCTGTTGGTGGAGTATTATATAGTTTTCAGTTGATGAGTGAGTAACAGTCAGTAAAGTAAAATATTTGAAACTCTGATAGTTATCGTTTGTATTCAGTTACTCGATAAATTATTCGTGAAATTGTAAAAGTAAGTTTATTTGTACATTAGTTTTAGTACCATTAGCGAGGTTTTTCCTTTGAAACGTCATTTATAAACGTTGGCCTACAAGTTACACTTGTGTACAATGAGCGATATAGTCTGTACGTTAAGGAAGAAATAGACTAATTTGTTATCGTTACATGTTTGAAATTTGAATTATTTTCAACAAATGATCTAAAAGAACCCGCCCTAGGAAAAGACAACGTTACAACAATATATCAAAGCATAATTCCGATATACAGTATATGTAAAACTTCTTGATGTTTTTTTTTACTTACCTTAAAATATAAGTTAAACATTCTTACATATATTTTGCTGTTATTGTACAGAAGTTTAATAATATACAAATTTATAATTTTATCTTGAACTTTGTCATATTTATATTTCAACACCGCGTTGGGAAACACTGTTGTTCTTGCTACAATGTGAGCTAAACTAAAACTTTTCGTGAACATATTTGCAGAAAATTTTTGTGTACCATTTGGTAAAGTAAACCTACCTACCAAACCCCAATATTTTCATTTTTCTGACCCTAAACAGAGTAATATGCAATTTCACTTAACTGAACTGAAACTACAAGTTTCTATCCCGGTGCTAAGCTGGATCGTCTATTCAGTGATCCGAAGTTTTATATATCACCAGGTGGTTAGGGCGCTCGACTCGCAATCTGCGGGTCGCGGGTTCGAATCCCCGTTCCTCCAAACATGTTCGCCCTTTCAGCCGTGGGGGGCGTTATAATGTGATGGCCAATCCTAATATTCGTTAGTAAAAGAGTAGCTCAAGAGTTGGCGGTGGGTGGTGATGACTAGTTGCCTTCCCTCTAGTCTTCTAAGTTAGGGATGGCTAGCGCAAATAGTCCTCTGTAGCTTTGCGCAAAATTCAAAACAGACAAACAAACAGAAGTTTAAGATGAATGGGAATATAAACGTATAGCTATAGGAATAAATAACTGTTTTACTTGGTCGTCTTAAACTCAAAATGTTAATACTTATATTCACTTGTATGCCTAAAGATATTTGGCAATGAACTTTAATTTCATTGTTGTTGGTTTTTTCACTTACCACTAAAACATTGGTCACTGTATTTGCTTGTAACACACATAAATTCACACATATACGTGTGGGCATGTGTATACGTAACATGAAATGATATATCAGTAAATTAGTTATCAAAATATGAAATAAGCAAAAATTCAACCTTGTCAACTTAAGGTGTAAATTTAACACGTGCTACTTGAGATAGTTGTTTGACAAAGGTTAACTCTACAACACCATCTTCATACCAGCACTGCTATCAGTGCCAAACATGGACATTAACATCAAGAAACGAAAGAAAGATTGTCAAAATACGAATGAGATGCCTCAGAAAAGTTCTTGGTGTTATCATCAGAAACAAAATACGTAACGACGACATAAGAGTGAAGGTGAAAACTGAACCCGCCTTGTCATACATCAAGAGACACTAGTCAAGCGCTTCAGACACCTAATTAGACAGCATCCAAATTCTCTGCCACGAAGAACATTCAATACAAAGATAAACGGATGGAAAGCAAAAGGATGATCATGCAGATGGTGGATTATAGGTGTCCTTAGTGACCTCGGGAACGTGACGATGCAGGATGCGAACAAGAAGCCATTCCCAGTATCTCCCCTCAACGCTGCAAGGCATTAGAGAAAGGCGAAATGAAAGAACAACTGGCTAACAACACCACTGCATCTCAAGCTATGATAAACTTATCATGCTTGACTCTTCCAATGTAAGATAAATTTATCATCAATAGATGGCGCTGGCATTGTTTTATTATTTTCTTCAGCTTCAGTGTTTCTTATACCTGTCTAATATAGCAATTTTTTTACAACAGAATTTATGACACCGTCGAAACGTTTTTTGTTTGTTTTTAAATCAAGTCTAAATGTAATGGAAGGACTCCCTTGTAAGTTTGTGTGCGTGCGTACCCACGTGCTTCATTCATAAAGGAGGGGAGGAAGCTCAGATCGCGCCTGATTTTGTAATACGTATGGCCTGTGTGAAGTAAGACCTGTTTTCATGTTGGTTTAAATATTAGTAAAACTTGGACGTGACATTCGTATATTCTTAAAAAGTCATCCTTAAACAATCAAACTAAACAAGGACGTAAAACGGGTTTACAACACGTTTAAATAGACGTAGTGTAAACCAGTTTTATAGGCTTGCTGGTGTAACATTTGTGTACTGAATACATATTTCTGTATTGCATATTATTTATTTATTCATGTTACATAAAAGTGGTATTGTAAAATGACTGTTGTCAGTTTGCACTGATGACGTGGGGAAAAGTAAGACACCAGTAGTCATCAACAATGTATGATAGTATTTTAAGGATATAAAACAACTACATAACAGAAATCTTTTCTTACAGATATTGCCCTTTACTGATTTTATTTTTATTTATTTTTGTCGTTGTAATTTCAGTGGAACCAGTTATTTTCGGTCTTACAAATCACCTCGCAAGGCCCAAGTTAAAGAAATACACCACTCCAATGAAACTGCCACCGTGAAAGTAATTACACCAGATGGCATTACTTTAGTGGAAACAGTCGGTCGCAGCGACATCTCACGAGAAGAAACTAATTTCTCTACACCGCCTAAAATCCCACCTCGACGAATCGGTAAACAACCTCCACCGCCACCCCATCAACGGCCCAGTAGACCACCTCCACCACCACCATCGTCCCTTCAGCAAGTAGAAGATAAATCAAATCATGATACCGAAGATGTAGAATTAAGCTTCCTCCACCAAGAAACGGTTGGACAGACCACTTCCATACGTGCACAGAACGAATATGTTGACAACATTTCCGTTACTACAGGGGGTGCCTCAACATGTTCCAGCCCTGAACTACCTCTTCCGCCCCCACCATCTATAACAGACATCGAGATTCGCCATTCTGATGAACCCTTGCCTCCACCCCCTGACCCTCAGGAAGTGGAATTACCTACAAAGACGCTGCCGCAAATATCGATGTAAGTAACATCAAATTATAATGGTTCGATTAAACAAAATTCATCAATCGTGATTTCGCTATGTGCTGTACTGTGATTTATTTTTAGATATAGGGAATCAATTAAGCAAAAAAAAAATATTATTTTTTTCTTAAATCTTATACTTGTGTACAATATAATATAAATTTGTTAATTCCTTTTTTTTTAATCTCACAACACATTTATGTAACCTTTGTGACTGCAAAACGTTAGAAATAAACCAGTTGTTGTGTCAGGTAATACAACAATAATTACAAATGTATCAGTTTAACATTTAAAGATGTACATTGTGCAAATTCATAAACAGTAATAACACATATCGACTTAATAATGCGCAAATTATTAAGAAATTAACAAAAGGTAACACAAACGATTAGTTGTTTTTTCATTATGCTGAGGTGTTATTACTTATTTTGTAAGAGTATCAGTATTTCTAATATTACAGTACCATTGGTATTAAAATGAATTTAATTAAAGTAAATACGGTTTACTATAGCTGATGCACGGAGAAGACGTAGGTGTCCCGGGGTGAAGGTGGCATACAGGGGTCAGATCGGAACGACAACCCCTTATATCACTCTCCGAATTGGGGGCCTAAGTATACACGTCGAGTTGACGGTCGGTCTAGCAGTTCCCCAGTTATAAGCGTACACACACATACATAGACATAATACAAAATCTACTAGTGTCTTGCAAGCTACATAAAATTAATTATTGATTTACGTTGGGAATTACAGATTTGTTTATATACTCCTTATTAGGAATATAATTTGTTACGTATTACAATTTCGAACGGTCTGAAACCGAGCTAAATGATTTACCAGTCAAGTAAAAGCCCATATATAGTCAGCCAAAAGAAATGTCTCATAATTTTTTCACGTGTCTTGTTGACACCTAAATGACCTCCTATTGGGAGTTCATGGTCAACTTACAATATTTCAGAACGATATGCTTTGGGAACAACTATTTGATAAACAATCGCCCAGTCCTCCGAAGTTGGCACATCTTGTGGTCTCCGTTTCCTCATAAGCACGCCATTTTTGAAAAAATAACCATTTGGAACTTTCTCCAGTTCATCTTTAGGGAGTGCATATTTAGATAGTGAAGAGAACTGCAGATCTTTTGCTTGCTCAGCGATCAGTTTACTTTTAGTAAACAGAACTTTACCAGGTGATTCAGATCCTTCACGTCCATAACTGTCACTCACCGAGGTATTGTCATTAGGACAATCATCCGCAAGATTCTTGTTGGATCCAAAAAATGTTTGAGACAAATCTATAACATCGTCTTCTGAATCCATCTACCATTTGTTTTTGGCTTAATTTCTTAGCCTGAGCTCGAGTCACAACACACGAGGGAAACACATCGGGATTCCCCTGAACGACATCATCATCCTTAGATGAAACAGTGATTGGCTCACTAACTATTTTAGGTTCGGCAACAATTTTTCCACCAGCCAAATCGTTTCCCAACAATAATGATACACTCTTAATTGGCAGAGTAGGTCTTACTCCAACCACAACTGGTCCGAAAACTAGGTCTGATG